TGTGACTTAAAAGGGATTTGAATCACAGTTGGATGTATTTCTTTATTTCTGACAATCCAAGAGTTACATTTTACACCCCAGGCGGAGACCCATCCAGGGTGTACCCTGCCTCTTGCCCGTAGACAGCTGGAGACAGACACCAGCACCCTTCGCAACCCAGCTTGGGATAAGCGCAACAGAAAATGGATGGAAAATGAATGCCTCAAAATATTGTCACAAGAAAATAGTAAAAATTTACCAATATAAATGTGACAAAAAAAAAAAAAGATTAAAAAGAGAATTCATTGGATTTTCTGGGCTGGTTAATATTTTTAGTAAATACTATAAAAATAAATCGAATGATTTTAATTCAGTCTATTTAAATTCTCCACTTTGGATACCCTGCAACCTTATTAATATGCAGACATTACAATGAAATACCCTTTAAAAATGACTGATTTAGAATAAATTATAGAATGAAAGAGTTAGTTGTATTTTTTTCTCTGTTTTTTTTTTAAGTCTTGTTTGCTCTCAGCTCAAAGTCGTCCCTCTGCCTCAGCAGGCTTTGTAGGACTTTATCAGGATAGAGGAAAAAGTTCCTGTTCCGCTGCAGATCCTGGGACTTCATAATACGAGTCAACAAAGCTTGTTGGATGGATGGAGACTCACAGGCTTGATGCTGAACGTTGTGACTTACATTTCTCTGAGGCTCGATGACTAATAGACCAAGCTTGCTGTCTGTCTCCTCCCTGAAACACTGAGGTGCTGAAGTATTCAGGACGGTGACATTGCTTCCTCTCAGCTCACTCAGTTTAAAGTCTTCACAGCTTCTGTTAACTCCTGAGGAGGTCTTGTTAGTGGTATCGTCTGGGTTACCCAGTGCAGCACTGGTGCTGGAAGTGTTGGTAGTTTCTACCCTGCTTGCTGGTTTCAGGGGCCTTGCAGCTTCAGTCACCATGATGTTTTTACGTAAATATGCTACATAGCCTTGAAGGAGGCGATTCAACCCGGTCTTATAAGACAGACGCAGAGACTCGATGGATCCAGACGGCACAGAGTGAAGACGAACCTGTTGAAGGAGCAACAAGGATGCTCAGAAAGGAGCACTGTGATACAGGATTTGTTCTGTTATTGTTTTTTACTTCTTCAAAATGTTTTCATCTGAGACAAACTTAACTGTAATAAGGAAGGAAAGCAGTTGTCAAATGATGATTTAACAAAATTACTTCTAATTCACTACTAACTTTAAGCAAGTAATGCATGGTGAAAAACTATCCAGTGTTTGTGAAGTAAAGCAATTGATTAGTTAGTCAAAAAAGTCCTGAAAACAACAATAAAGACACATTGACAGTTTGTTTTGGAAAGCCTTGAATTCCTCATTTGAAAACAGCCTTTTTATATAAATGCAGATTATCTGTGATACAAAATAGGGCTGAAATAATTAATCGGATTAATCTTGATTGCTAATTTATTGAAAAAATTGATAACTAATTAAGTAATTTTTTTAGACTCTGAATCAGCCCTTTAGCTGACAGAGCAGTAATTTTACCAGAATTGTAAAAAAAAAAAAAAAAAAAAAAAAATAATATATATGTAAAAATTTTGCATTTGGAAAAGCTTTAGTTTCACCTGATTTTATTTCATAAAAAGTCTTCTTCAAGCAACATTTGGCTATCTGATTATTAATCGATTAATCTGAAAGGTCTAAGACAGATTAGGAAAAAGAAAAACTATTTAAAAAAATCTTAATAGGGTTAAATATTTGACAAAAATTACATCTTTGTAAAATTACAGGTGTTGTGTCCCATTGTTTAGTCACATGATTCGTTGATCCCAGATTGTGTGTGTTTGAAAACCCAGGTGTCTTTTTTTTAACTTGTACAGCCTGAAGAATCTGATGTGAACCTGATTCATTATAATTCCTGTTTATGTTGATGTTTTTTTTAAAGACAATGTTATCAAACCTCTGTACATCATTTCATGGGTGAAGTGAAAAAAGGAAGCTCTTTGCTGCAACTAATCCGATCTTTTGATTTCCAAACTATTGTAAATGATCTGACCTGGTGGATCCTGAGGTGCAGATGAAAAGCAGCCCCTGCCAACCACTGCTGCATGGACTCTGTGCTCATTCTCTTCTTATTGTTCATCCTGTCGTAATGGTCAATCAGCTCCAGGTTAAGCAGGTTGTCGCAGAGCTCAGTGATCTCAGCCATTTTCTCCTCATCGTTGGCAATGCCTGGTACAAGGCTGAGGTAGCTGTGGATAATCGAGCCAATTCTTGATGATGTGCTGATTCCTAAAATCCTCTCCCCTCTTGATGCCTTAGGGGGAGGGAAGCCTTCTGCTGAACCTTGTGCTCTGACCTGATCAAAAACACAGGTTTTGATAAGCTTGGTTTTGGCATTTTACCAAAAAAATAAATAATCTAAGTGAACTAATAGTCACATAGTTTATATTTTACCTACATGTTGTGCGACCTGGTCAAAAAGCAGGGACAAAGCTAGAGCGACGACCCCTACGCCTCCGTATGTGACCCTGCAGCAGCCCACCTCTGCAGTGAGGTTCAGGTTGAAGGCTGCCTGCTGTTCGCTGCTCAGGCTCTTCTGCAGGAAGCCGTACTGGTGCTGCAGAGCAGCAGAGGAGTCCAGCGACAGGAAAGTCGTCAGGACCGGATCCAAAGAGATGTCTGGGATGATGTCAGCATCTCGAGCCACTGAGAAGAGCTCCTGGACGGTGGCTGTGGATGGGAGACACAAACTAGGAGCAGTCAGGATCATGGCTGAAGCTTTCTGTCCGAGTGCTGCGAGATGAGGCTTATCTCTGTTTGTTTAAACCAGTCAGGGTGAGGTTATCAACATGCTAAGTTAACAAATTTCTGAACATCTGGTAAATAAGATCCAGGCTTCTGCTTCTGCCCAATAAAAGGTTTCTGGAACATATTTAATCTGCAAGTGGAAGCTAGGAGTGAGTATTTCTTAAAAATGTACAGTACTAAATGGTGCAGTAAGGGTTTGTGATCCAATTGTCATACCAAGCTTATCTTTGTACCTATTAATTGTTTTACGTCTTATTTTTATTCCTCTCAAGAAAAGGAAAGAAAACTCTGTTAATAATACAAAAATTAGTCTGTCAAGCCCTACATCCTCTTTTCCACTCTTCCCCTAAGAGGATGTCAGATGTTTCCCTAAACGCATCACTGGCACAAATGTCATATTGATTTGGGTTTATAATCATTAATTTGGTGCACAATTTCAGATCAATGCAGAGTGATAAAAACACATCCTGCCCTTTAGATTAGACAGACTTCAGCTGCAGACAATCCAAACATCTTTTGTTCCCCATTATGGAACATTAAAGGGATATTCTCTTTTTTATTTTAAAGTCTGTCTCTATGGTAAATAAATGTGGTTCAACCAAAATGGTATACTATACAAAAGTTTTATGTTTAAAGTCTTTGTAATAAAGTGTAAGGGCTAGCACATACACTTTTATTTATTTTAAATAAAAATGGACAGTATTATTCACTTCAGAATCAGAACTTAAGTTAAAACTGACTCAATGGTAGTTAAAACAAACTTTAAAGGTAAAAAAAATTTAATAGGTACAAGGGAAAAATCAGTAATAGTGTTGTTATCAAAGAATATCATTAAAAGACATTTATTAGGCACTAGCTCCTAGATACCGGGACAAAACCAGGGGCTGGGACCATTGCCCCTGTCTTAAACTGCCTATGCCAAGCTGAAATCTCTGCTTTTAAAAGGGTTTGCCAATCTTTTATAGAAAGACAATACGTTTGAACAGTGTTCAGTATTTTTCCTTTGAGCACCACTGTTTGAGACTCATTTCCAGAGGTGCCACTTACTATAACTCTTAAGAAGGTAACCACTGCTTTAAACACTTTTCTGGTATCTCAAAGCCCAATTTCAGAGAACCTTCACACCTATTGATCTGTTTACAGTGCAGTAACTGTTTACAGCATCTTGCTATTACCTTTGGAGCCAGTTAAAATGTAACCTATCTGACAGTTTTTAACCAATCGGACCGTGGTGTCTCTGTAAAGGGCCTTGAGATGACATTAGTTGTGAATTGGCGCTATATAAATAAACAGATTTAGATTGAATTGAAATTATTCTCAGATTTTTGCTCAACTTGCTACTTTTAGTGATGTAAATATACCCTTTAATATGTGTAGTTTATCATATGAGATACATGAACTTACAATAAAATTAGATTTACAATACAATATGACAGTTAGGGATGTTGAAACAAATTTTTACTTTACTACATTAACATTTGAAAACATTTTGGGGAAAAACATATTTATTTCTTCGTAAACGTTCGTACTAACTCGGTCTTTTAGGCCAGTCACAGGACATGTTCGTGCACTTTTGTGACATCATGAACAATACTTTCAGAGACTAAACCAAAATAATGGGAGAAAACACGCGGAATGGGAAAGGGGGAGGTAAATAAATTATCAAAAAGAAAGAAACAGAATTATGGCAAAAAATATGTGATGAAGATGAGAAAGAAAGAAGATTTTATAGCGTTAAAAAAACCGGAAATGGTAAAAAATAAGGAAAAAAGAACAAAAAGGAAAAAAAAAATTAAAACAAAATAAAAAACGGAAAAAACCAACTGAAAGAAGTTTTGTTTGTACTAGGGAAGAGAAATAATGATGTATGTGAGGGTTGTGAAAGAAAATAAAATGTGGATCATGTTTTGATGGATTGCATTAAATATGCAACTGAAAGAGAGAGGATGAGGAAAGTAATCATGGAAAAAGGGAGAGGATGGAGTATTAAAGGAATTTCAGGGACAGATGGAGATAGGGAGGAGAATTTGGTTATTAATAAAGCATTGTTTTTATTTTTACATAACACAAAAATAAAAAATAGAATATAGTAGGTGGAACCATAGAGCTACACACTCATGTACAGTAGGTGGCGGTAGGACCTTTAAGCTGTTTGCAATCCCCCAATCTAACAAAGAACAAGAAGAAGAATCTAACAAGAAGAAGAAGAAGAAAACACGCGAAAATGAAGCCAAACGACTCCAATCGAACAGTTTAACAATTCACATTATTGATAAACATGTTTTGACCGAAAATATAGACTTTTCTCGGGTTAAAACCCACCGATACGTGTTTCTTCCGACGCGTTTACGTCACTGCACGCTTCATCGAAGCGTCACGACGCACAGTAGGTGGTTTCCTGCTTCTAGTCGGGTGAAAACATAACAGGTGAGTGCATTATTGAATTACCTCGGTTTTATGATATTTTAATAACTTTAAGGTAGAATTGCGCCGACTTAAAGTGACCGTTAGAGCGCTCTGAAAGCGACTAAATAAAAGCTAATTCTATTAGCCAGCTAAAGCTGCAGTGTTTTGGGAAAATCTACCACTTATGTACAAATTATTAGATACAGGGCTTATATAAGAGAGATATGGTGCAAAAAAGTACAATTGATCGTTTAAATGTAATTCGATTAACTCAAGTAAAAAAAATAAAGGTTATTAGTAGGTAACTATCGCTGCAAAGTCATACATTTTAGCTGCTCTTGAGTCAAAAAAACACAAGCTAGATTTATTTTTAAGATGTGGACTTTATGATCTCTATCACGTGATAATAAAGTCTTTCAGTGCTCTAACTATTTCCCCAGTGCAATATAGATTTTATTACATCACCTTTTCAGCCGCTTTTAGCAAGCACCTTTTTTAACGATGGTATTTGTCTTTGTTTTGGTGTTTAATTTTATTTTTAGTCGATCTATTGGTGATTTTTATTCATTGTATTTTTATGTTTGCCATTTTAAAGTTGGGAACTGGATATTAGCATTAATATCTAACAGTAAGCTCATTGAAAGGAAAGGACAGAACTTATCAACATTGTCCTTCAACATTAACCTTTAAAAGCCAAACCAATATGCAGCACATGGCAGTATTGATGACATATTATAATAATAAGGTCTTTTTAAAAATTATTTTTATATACTCTAATAATCCCAGAGGGAAATTACTTTTCTGCATTTAACCCATCCCCTTGGGGAGCAGTGGGCTGCCATTGTGCAGCGCCCGGGGAGCAGTGTGGGGTTCAGGGTCTTGCTCAGGGAGCCAGTCTGTGGAAGAGGGGGATCGAAGTCACAACCTCAGGATTCAAAGCCCTATGCCCTAAACACTAGACCGCCACTCCTCCTAACTTTAGTCAGACCACAGTCAACTTTTATATCATGTTCAAAACTCTCCCATATTTGGACATTGCTCCAGCTCCAGCACTGGAAATATGGAAATGTTGTTTTATTGTTCTTAATCTTCTGTGTAATATTATCACACAAACATTAATCCCACATTCCTTCCATTCTCTTGAAGTTTTCTTGTTGTTGATTTTTTTTAAGCTTTATACATAATTTAAGTTGGTTGCAGTTAAACTGTCTGTACTTTTTTTTTTTATCATTTTGATTGGTTAAACAATGAGTTGATGTCATTCATATACAAAACCTCATAATTTACTCTCCTTACATATATATTCTTCATTTTTATTTAAACATAGCTTAAGAATTGAAACCCTAATTACCTTACCAGGTTGAGAGCTGAGTACCTCTACAGTCAGTCCAATGCTTCTCAAACTGCTCATTATGAACACTTTACTTTAAAACTTGTAATTTATACAAATACATATATATTAAGTGCAAAAGAGTTTATCATCCCCTACTATCGCTGCATAGTTATTTAATTTATACTGCTGTCTGTGGGTATAGATGTGGCTTAACACAGAGGTTAGTTAGTTAGTTAGCACCAAATAAAAAAGCTATTTACTTGGTGTGACTCAATCGAACAAGAAACCATGAAAGAAATTATAACATTTGTCCAAAAAAAAGAGGGGCCTCTTAAAAGTTGGCTTTCATGGGTCAATGGTAAACAAAGCAGAAGGCAAGATAAGCAATAAAACAGCTGACTAATAAGGGGATTTTTGCAGAGATTTTAAAAATATTCTCCAGAAGGGAAACAGTGGATAGGTTATTTTGTCATATAGTAACTTTAGTAAATTCCAGCTCGTTCCTAATTCCTCTTAGATTTGTCACTTCCTGAATCACAGCAGGTATTTTAAACTAAAAATGTTTGTTTTGTTTTCAACTTTGAGGAAGTAGTTTTTTTTTTGTTTTTTTTTTAATTGTGCAGTTTTGGTCAATGTTTTCCAATGCCATCTGTATGAATGAGGAAGGAAATGAAGAAAAAACTTCAACAGATCTGCACATCCACCGCTAGGTGTTGTTAAATCAACACCTTTTTTAAAGTCTTTTAAATGGCCTCAGCAGACTTCGGGAATCTGCTGTTTTTTTAAGATGTTCTATTCAATTCAGTTTTAAATTCAGTTTATTTCTATAGCACCAATTCACAACACATGTCATCTCAAGGCACTTTACAGTTCAGTCAGATCATACAGTCAAATTGATTCAAAGTCTTCTATCTAAGGAAACACAGTTGATTGCATCGACTCATTGACTCAAATGCAGTCCCTCACACCAAGCATGCTTGTAGCGACAGTGGAGAGGAAAAACTCCCTTTTAACAGGAAGAAACCTCTAGCAGAACCAGGCATCATGTTCTCAAATGATGTTTAAATAAACTTAAATCATTCCTGTAAATAATTTAAGTTGGGTGCAGCATTGCAAGGATTTCAGCTGGAGTAACAATAAAAGGACTGGTTGGCTCTGGGAAGCAGAAAGGCTCGGCTTATATATATCCCCTTATAAATAGCTAATAAATAGTGTGTTACTATGTTGATTAATCTGTAAAAACTTTATAACTGATTCATAAGTGTTAATTATGCATTCACAATGTTATGCATTCTAAAAATATATATATGTATAATATTGTAAAGATCCTCAGTCATCCAGGTCATAGTCATTTAAAAAAACAGGAAGCTTTTTCAATTCAAAATGTCACATAAAACCTCGAACTCAATGCTATTTCTGATATTTTGAATTGAAAAAGCTTCCTAGATGGGAAGTGAAACGTCTTCTGACTTGGAAACAAAGTCTAGTGGATTGTTTTTTTTAAAAAACTTTTTTGGAATATATATTTGAATATTCTTTTTTTGTTTACAAGGTTAGCTGGAAATGTTGAATATAAGCAACGCTTATAGTGGAACAGCTTAGGCTCACTCTTTGGGAGTCAATTCTGTCTTTAATTCATACATAACAAACAAGAATACATTTAATCTTAAATGATTGTCAGGACACCCAAGGTCACTGTAAAAAAAAGTCTGCCAAACACAAAATACACAATATTAAAAAAAACAGTGGAGATATGCAGATGTGTTTACAGAATAATTAATAACATAGCTAAGAATATTTACTACACAGTAAAATGAGCGACGTTAATGTAACACTTAAAGAGTCAATTTCAACACAGACCCAGGTTACATAAAGTCCTGCCCTGTACAGTGTTAAACTTACACTGATCACAATGTCAGAATTTTACTCTAATTTTTAACTCTAGTAGTAGTTAAATTTAGTTATAGAGTAAAATAAGAATTATTCTGACAATTGTTTACTTAGTTTAACACAAAAATCAATACTAAGTGGAGAAAAATGAACTCTAAAATTCTGACACCGAAATCAGTGTAAGTTTAACACTGTAAAGGGCAGGACCATATGTAAACTGGCTCAGTGTTGAAATTGACTCTTGGTGTTAAAGTACAATTTTATTTATCTCAAGGTGTACAGCCAAAAAACAACCCTCAATATATCCATGTCTTATCAATTTATTACTTTCAGCTCAACAGCAAAATGCCAATAAAAACTTGGCATAGACTAAAAAAACAAAAAACATTTGCATTTTTCTCCTTGGAAAAACAAGAGGATGATTTTTCATATATAGACCATCTTTTAAATCTAAATACAAACCAACCATTGAAATATTGTCAGATGAAAACATTCCACATATTTGTAAAAATAGATTGCAGTGTATAGCTACCAGCTTTAATAAATTTATTAAAGCTGGTAGGAACATTTAAAATGTATTTATAAAAAAAATAGATTGTAAACACAGTTATTTTAATAAGGTTTTCTGACTTATTCCAGATGAAATTCTGAGGGGAAAAAATGTAAAATGGAGGCACTTACCGAGGTTTTCCAGCGAGGAGAAGCAGATAAATGGTGCAGAGAAAATTCTAGACTGTTCCAAGCGTGAGGGCAGAGATTTTCAGAGTCATTTTCACCATAACTCCGAAAGAGTGAACTTTTAAACACTTAACAGATTACACTATCAAAGGTCCTTACCAAACCGGTTTCAACTCGAAATATTTTCACCAACACTCAGTGTTATGGTCAAGACCACCTAACCCGAGACCAAGACTAGAGTGTATCGAGACCGAGACAAGACCAAGACTTTTAGGGTCCGAGACCAAGTCAAGACCAAGACCGAGGGAAGTCGAGACCGAGTCAAGACCAAGACCAGCGCCAGTATGTGACAGTAAAATGTGAAACATGATCAA